AGATAGATAGATAGATAGATAGATAGATAGATAGATAGATAGATAGATAGATAGATGGATGCAGCAAACTGCATGTTCTTTAATGTTCTTCTACAGTTCAGCTTGTTTTGTTTTTTTATCATCCCAATATATTTAAGTGAAAATGGTTTGGATTTTGATTTATTTTACAAGTGTGCAGTCTGCAATTTTCGGTTTCCACTGACATTCTTCTTTTCATCATAAAGTTCTGGAGCATGCATCAGATTACTACAATCTGCACCACCTTGTTCTGAGCACATGTACCTATACATGTGCTAAAATGTAATGGTTTACTGGAATTTTTAGGAAAAGTTGCAGCTCTGAAAGGGCATTGCTGAAAAGAAAATCTCTCTCTTATTTTTTGTTAGTATTAATATGCTGATATGTGCACAGAATACTCTCTCTATATCATCTGTCATTGCACCTATGCATCTTTCTTTTTGCATGACCGTGGATTAAAAAAACATATTTTGCAATGATGATAGATTACATGAGTTTATGAATTGACATCTGAAATGTATAAATTGAATTGCAGGTCATAATTGCATTTGCATATCCTCCTCCTGGTTTCTTGCACATTCTGATGATCACCAGATGTTCTTCATATTCTTTCATTTTTTGCAACTTTCATTTTGATATAAAAGAGCCAAAAAACTCTGCCAATTGTTATTAGATCACCTTTGCAGCTGTTTTTTATATTTGCAACTTAAGTAGACCAGGTCCTATGTCAGGAGTGACCCAGACCTTCTAGCTATAAATAGAGCTGAAATATCATCGGGGTCACCTCTGCCTTTCTTCCTTAACAAAGAGGATGGTCTTGTGAGACACTCACTCATGCTAATCAGAGAGCTGGAGTTATATTAATAACCAAGTTCCCTTGCATAGCATTGTGTTTTGTCTCATTATAGAGAGCAATACTGACTCTCAGATTGCCAGACATGTCTCTTTAAATCCCAGCTGTTCCAGGTGGCTAATCAGTAAGGGGCCACACAATGACCCTGCACTTAAAACTGAATGTGCCAAAGCTGGAGTAGTCACATCAAGATTGTTAGTTTAGCAAATAAAACTCGGGATGCAGCTAAAAAGACCTCATGGATGCCAGCCCCCTGGTGCTATGTGCTTTAAGATGAGTTATGGGCTGGAAGTCCCTCTTAGAATTTGCCAAATTATTATCTCCCACTCTCTAGTGGGAAAAATGCTGCTTTGACACAGGTTTGCCTACATGGGATTTTTCCAAAGGCACAAATAACAGATTAGTTTTCAAAAACCTTGTGCCTTATCCAAATAATTTCCAGTGTACAGGACATAAATTATGCTGTTCTTAAATAGAAGATGGAGTTAAGAAGCAGCTCTGGTGGAGAAAAACCCCCAAAACAAAACAAAGAAAAAACCCATAAAGACCAAAAGCTGGGCGAGGGTGTAGAATCTGTCATTAGGGAAAAAAAATTCATGCTTCATGCTCAGAAATGGCATAAGTCCTGCAGAGTCATCTTACAGTAGGGTTATTTTGAGGGGTGATAACCAAAGCTGAACCTTTTTCAGAGATTTGAAAGTAAAACAAAAAGGGTATCTAAAACTGTAGGACGGTTCCATGGTAGGGCCATAGACATGGCATTAACAACATATGCCTGGAATAAAATAACACAGCATTAAGTTTTGGCTCACTGACTTCCCCCAAAGACAATTTAACAGGTTGAAATATTTGCCAAACATACCTTTATGAATTAAAACGCTTTGGCTTTATCAGTAAGGTTCTGTAAAAAAAAAAAAATACCTGATAGTCTGTGCACCTCCTTTTGAACACCTTCCACTTTTACTTATGAAGGGATCTGGTACACAGGGCACTCTACATAATCATTAACATCAACCCAGGGGTAAATGGCACCTAAAAATAGAGGCCAGACTAAAAGAGCTGCAGGATATTCTGCCAGTCACTCAGTGTGCTCTACATGCAACAGCAATCTCTGATATCTTCTTTACATCTAGATTAAGGGATAAGGAAGGATCGTTTCTGTCCAGACAAAATAGTGAATCCTAGCTAGTGGTAGGAGAATGTGTTATAGTCTGAAGAACAGAGAACTGATATTTTTTGCCCTTACATTTGGACAAAAAAAACAGATTTTTAGTGAAAAATCACCTTAACCTCAGTGACATACTGTGGTTGTTTCTTATTGTTAAGAAATCCTTTTTAATACAGAACTGAAGTGTCATGGTGGATGGGATTTTAAACATCAGTACCAAAACCTTTAAGTATAGCAACATTTGAAGAAGAAATGAATTATTCACCATCCCACTGAGTTCAAGACAAACGCATCAAAACAATAGTTTTATAAAGAGGAATTGAAAAGTTTTTCAATGATATTACTTCGGTTGAGAGCCATGAAATCCACCCCGGTTACCTGAGGAGTGCTCTGAACAAGAGGTGTCCTAACGACATGTTTGATTTTCAGAGGGAGAAAACAATACAAACCAAAGCTTTTACATGCTGAAAGACTCCTGCCAAACACTGAAGTTAAATTAAAGGTGCTCCAACGAGGTGATAGCTGTAGTGATGACATGCAAGCAATCGCTTCATCCTTTTTGAATGGTGCAGAATATACGCCACATAAATAACTGTTTAAGAGTTTAAGAAACAAAGACTTTGATCTTTAACATGCATGCCCTCTTTTGAGACCACCAGACCGTATTTTATTTGTGCATTATTATTTGTTTATTTATTTTTTATTTTTTTGGCAGTCTTAGTGGATAAAAAAATGAAAGCATGCTTAAGTTAATTATCATTGACAGTATGTCAGTGCTTCCTTTGGGGTGGTCATGAAATGGCTGAAAGGGCTTGAACATATCAAGCAGGAGCTCAGATGGGCACAATGTGAAGCTCCATATGAATAACAGTAACTGATGATGCTTCATGCTGTGTACGCTGCAGCAGACACTCCATCTGTCTTCTGTGGAAGTGGGATGCTTATTGCAGTGTCAGCAAAATAAAAAAATTGTAACAAACAGTGCTGGTGTTTGTGGTAACATTAATAGTGGTGGTAGTGGTTTAAAGTGTTTATTTTTTGCCAAAGAGAGAAAAAACAACCTTTTTGTGGTTCGTATATGAATGAGTGGGTGGAGGCAAGTTTGAAGGATGGGCGTATCGTTCAAAAACAGATTTATTGATGAGTTTGAGTCTTTCAACTTTCTTTCCCGTAATGTGTTTCCTACACAGAAATCAATAGCCTCAGTAATTGCTGTTGTAACTGAACTGCAAAGGGTGAATCGGTGAATCTCATCCACCCACAGTGGTTCACTGATGCTTTTCCAGCCTTCACCTGAACTGCAGTCATAATGTGATTTGTAAAAAAAAAAAAAAAAAAAAGCGAAGGCCATGGATGTGTTGTATTTAGTGGAAACTAACTAAATTTGTTTGTCTTTCTGCTGAATGAGCTGACAATTTTAAGCAGTTTTCTGAAAAGAAGAACGTTGCAGAGAAAGAGTGCAGCATTTCTGTACAGAGTCAACACTTTAACGATACAGTCAAGTCTCTGTATGGACATTGTTTTCTTCCAAAGTGAGTGGAGCAAAACACGCGGCTCATAAATTTGTCCTGACGCAGACATGCTGTCGCTTTATTGCTCTTTAGTGCTGGTTTTGAAGAACAGGCTACACCTTTTATTCCTGCATAGTGAGGAGTATTTTCCCTTCCTGTTGCAGGCTTCTCTACTGCAGTTAATACCTAACAGTGCCTTAGAAGTTAGAAATAGAGGATCAAAAATATGCAACACCAAATATGATGGTTTTCGGAGTGCTTAAGTTAAAGGTAGAGTGGATTTTCGCAGTTTTTTTAAAACTCCACTTAAAAAAAAAAATGCACATGCACAACTCTGTACCCACTCCTGAGAAGGAACTCCTATTAAACTCACTCACGCTCTTTTTAAAAGTTGCTGTTTGCATTGCTCATACAAGCTTACTTTCCAAAAGAAGATTTGCGATTTTTCCACTATGTTAGACTCACCACCAGTAAGGGAAAATGAGGACGAGCACGTAGAATGGCCTTATGTAAACACATAACCAGAATGATTGAAAATTAGGAGGACCACTTATTTTGATGATCCACCCGGAAAAAGAACATCCTCCACATTAGCACGTTATTTTTAATTTTACTACAACGTCAGAATATAACATTCCTCTCCAGATGCTTTTTTTTAATTTTTTTTTTTTATTATTCTTTTTTTATTCTTTTAATGTTATTACATGGTTATAAGTATCAAAATAACCACAGGAAATAAGTGAAGTGAAGATCTGTGGGCTTCAAATCTCTGATGTTATTCTCCTGTTGAAGGCCATTGGAGAACAGTCAACTCCTTGTTATGTGCTGCGAACCAGTTTGAGATGATTTAAGGTCACATCATGGTGCATTATACTGCTGGAAGTAGCCTTCAGAGGGTGGGTACGCTGGGGTCATTAAGGGATGGACATTGTCAGCGATTTTACTATCATGGTGGTGTGTCAATGACGCTAACAGTAGTTTGTACAAAGAGGCAAAAAGACCTCTCCCGTCCTCACCAGCACCAGCCCAAACGGTCATGCAAGGCAGGATTTGTATTTCCCTGATTATTTTCTGTAAACGTTAGTGTGCAAACCCCAGTGGATCAGCTGGTTCTGACATGCCCAGACCAGTCGGTTTGACAACAAAAGGAACTTAAATCCCATTTCTACCCTAATCTGATGCTTTGCTTGACATCTGGCACTGATTTAAATCATTTAATAGGCTCATGAGGTGCTATCATTGTTTGGTTAATTATTTTTTTTGTGCTTTGCAAATGTTTTAGCTAGAAAATTGTAAATCTCTCTTCCAGATGTCGTTGCAGAAATATAAATTGTTAACATCTCAACATTACATTACATAATCATTTATTATTTAAGTTGCTTTATGTAACAAGTTTTTTCCCCACATTTAAACAGCATGATTATATGCATGTGGTTTCTCTGTCTTTCAGGTCGGAGTGTGACCCCACCAGAACTGTCAGGTAGGTCATTTTTCTTCTGATTCTTTTCTGCTTCATTTCAAACGATTAAATGATAAAATGATAAAAACTACTCCGCTTTGGACATCCTTGACTCCACACTGTGATTGTGTTTCAAAAATCTCATGCTGTGGTTGTGTGAAAGTAAATAACAGCAGTCAGAAGACTTGTCAGGATGATATGTTTTCTGATCTCTGAAGGACAAGTCCAGACCTGTATGACAACAGAACATCACTTTTGTTTGTTCTAGTGGATTTTATGGAGTGAACAGGAAATTATGAGTTTTTTCCTTCTCTGTTTTACCAAGGTTCCTTTTTTCCCTTTGTTAGCTGTTTGTTAAGATGGGAAATTGCAGGTGTGTTTCTGCTGTCGCTGCTTTAAAACTCTATTCTGGATCTACCGTTGCAGGGAACACAACTAAGGATATAACCCAGTAGCAGAGAGTGGATGGATTTTGCTTATAGTGGCAAACACACTCCTCATCAGCTGTTTTTCTCCTCTACCTCAGACAACCTCAGAATGCTATGTGTTCATAGCCAAAGGCTGTCTAAGAGCATTAGAGTGTCACGCAAACTGTCTGGTGTTTAGGTTAAAAAGCGCCAAGCATCTAAAACACAGGTCTGGTCTAGAGTCTGTGTTCTTCCAGCTGTATTCTGCTGTACTACACTTCTGCTGTGATTTCTTCTTTCATGCAACTGATTGGTGTTGCCTCTTAAATAAATTAGATCTGCCAAAGAATGCCTAGAATTAAGAGCCCTTTGGAAATGTAAGGTCTTGCTAAAAAACACTATTTTTTGTTGTAACAATAATGAATAGATCATTACAGCTTATTGTTAATTGCAGCTGATCCTGAAGTGCTTTTAAGCACTGATTTCTGCTGCAGAAATAGATGGATGTACACAAATAATGATCCTTTTTAGATAATACCTATGTTTACATGGACACAAATAATCGGATTGGAGGACCACTGCTCTCAACTCTGCATGTGTGCAATGTCAGAGTGACGTTCTTTTCGCTGTTTTCCCAGAAAATTGGACAGTTTTGCGCATGCTTAAAGGATTTAATCTGATCGAAAGCTTGGTACAGTACATGGATCATGGTTTGCCAAAGAATTTATATCCACTCATCACCCTTATTCTTTTTCCGTGTTTGGAACAATCATACAATTTCCACTTTCATCAGTTACAAAAAGACAACAAAAAGCTATCTAAAATCAGATCCTTTACATTGAAACCGATGCTCTGCAAATCATAAAACCTAAGAATTATAAACACTAGTTCGAACACATGCATGCTTTCATCTAGGTTAAAGGAAATTGATGAGGATATTTACGAATAATCCAGGAACCATAAGGACTCAAGCCCATCACAAACTGGAAGCTGTTGATACAAAGGTGTCTTTGTCCACAATAAAGTGAACCAGTAAGAACAGAGGGGTGCTGCCCTTTACGCTTTTCTAAAATCAACATCTTTAATCTCTGCTGAAATTAGTTGACCATTAAGAGGTTTTATGGTCAAATTTGAAAAGATTCAGTATTTGGCCCAAAAACAAGAGGAATACAGTATCTGTGACTTATGATTTACAATAATGATTATAATTAGCCTGTTAAAGCAAAGAACACTGCACTATGTTTTAAAGCACAACACTTTTGCTGTATTTTGGTAGGAGGTGATGCCAGTTCATGGCTTTAACTGTAACATTTACGGAGGACAATTGCATTAAAGTTTTTCAGCTACACCTCAAATCAACTTATATTGATGGAAAATAGACAGACTGAAAGGGTTTCAAAAGGATCCCAAGGTAATATCAAAACTAGTTTTAGATGGAATAAAGTAAGGTATCAAGGGAAATTTGCACTGTCATTTAATCGGTCCTCATACAAATAAACAATCTAAATTAAATGTTCTATTAGAATTTTGATGAGGTGAAATATCCAAGCAGAATGCTTGGATATTTCATGAGCTACGTACAACCATGGCTTTTTTATTCTTTTTGAAAAAAAAAACAATTCCAAACTAAGTCATAAAACTCAAAATTCCAGCTAAATATGTCAAAACCAAAAACTTCAATGCCTGCTTATTTATAGTAGGTACTTTACACTTATCTAATATTCACCTAAAAAACATTCTCCTAATTACAATTTAACAAATGAGGATAAACGTGTTCATTTTTTTTTTAGAAACCTAACTTTACAAATGTTGGAACAGTATATGAACAGGAATAACTCTTTGTAATATAAAATAGTTTGTTATTATTTGACTCTTTTGTATTTAGTCCTTTAAGCTCACACACCTGTTAATCCATTTATTTTGACTAAGACCATTAATATGTATACATATATATATATATATATATATATATATATATATATATATATATATATATATATATATATATATATATATATATATACTTTTACATATTGGTTTGACATCAATTGGTGCAGGAATTAATTAAAGCTGTAAAACAGAAAAAGCTTCAGAGGAAGAAAAATTCCCTGGTTTATGGCTGGAAACCAACTGGCAGCAGCCTTCTGCATTTTAAGTTGTTAATGTTCCTTCAGTATGTTTCCTTCATTCACAACCCAAGATGATGTCCTCATTCTCTAAACAGCATGATGGATAAGTCTGACCTTTTGCTTTTACAGCAGATCCATTGGGTGTCAATGTGGCTTAATGCAGGCCACGAAACAAGCAGTGATGTAATCTGCAGACAGTTTGGTAAATAGAACAGACAAGAAAATAGATGTGCCTGTGCAGCAAGGGCTTCATTAAATATCATGGTTCTTAGCTTGAAAAGTACACCTGGTTGAGTACAGCCGGTGAGAGCTTTTTATGGACGAGAAGCAGACCAGCAAAGTGGTTTCACAACAAAGCCTCATTCATTATCATCATCCTGTGAAAAGCAGGCATATTTTTTGGTCAACAACCTCAAGCAAAACTACCTAAATGAGCGGTGTATCAGCAGTGCGCTGTGCTCCTCATTTCCATACAGCAAGACACAAATACATTCTTTTTGTAACTTTCATCAACATGCTTAGATTTTATTTAACTTGTTTGTTTTTAACAATACTAATTCAAAGCCCTTATACACTGAGGCATTCACAGATGTTCACTGGTTACACCTGGGATACCTATGCCAATAGATGCTGCTGGTCTGTGTAGTGTTTTGTTAAATTCTTCATGATTTATAGGATCCTAGGGTTTTCAACACAGTACTACTTATTTTTTAAGTAGACGGAACTTAGATACTGATAGGCAATATTTGGTCAACTGTAGCAAAAGTTGACATATGGTGTGAATAAAGCAACAGAATCAACAAAGTACATATTTTGCCTGTATCTCAATTCAGTTGAATTCAGTTTATTTATATAGCGACCAGTTCCCAACATATGTCATCTCAATGCACTTTCCAAAGTAGTGACAGTGGGGAGGAAAATCCCTTTTAGCAGGAAGAAACCTCCAGCAGAACCAGGCTCAGTGTGAGCGGTCATCTGCTGAGGCCAACTGGGGTTTAAGGAGATAAAAGACATTGAGAAAGAAGATGAAAAAATGGGTTCCTATGTCCTCCAGCAGTCTAAGTCTATAACAGCATAACTATAGAGATAGTTCAGGATAACCTGAAATACTCTAACTATAGGCTGTATCAAAAAGAAAAATTTAAAGCTTTGCATTAAAGTACACGGGGTGTCTGCCTCATAAACTAAACCTGGATAGTTGGTTCCACTGAAGAAGAGCCTGCAACTAAAAGATCTGCCTCCCATTCTTCCTTTAGAAATTCTAGGAATCACTAGTAAGTAAGTTTGAGAGTGAAGTGCTCTGTTAGGAACATAGGGAATGATTATATCCCTGAAAAAAGATTGAGCTTGGTTATTTAGAGCTTAATATCTGAGAAGGAGGATATTATATTATATTCTGGAATTAACAGAAAGCCAATAAAGAAGAGCTAAGATAGAGAAAATATGATCTCTCTTTTTAATCTCAAGAATTAGTTATTCTGTAAAAGGCTTATGTTGTCATTCACATATTTTTTTTTTTTTTCTTTTACAAGGAAATAAATACTGTTAGCACAGTTATCCCAAACAACCATAAATAAACAAACAAACTGTGGACTGGATGAGGGAAAGTGTGTAAAAGTGGTAATTCTACCTGAAAGTTTTTTTTTTTGCTAGGCTGCTTTATTGCTGCTAAAAGTGTGAGGTTGGGGTGCAGCTTTCCTAATGAGGAAATTAATTATAATAAGGAAAAGCAGCAGTGTGTACATCTGCATGCATAAATTATCCACTTTATGATTTTTTTTTTTTTTTTTATACAAAGAGAAATGCTAAAGCATGTTAAAGTAGTGTAGTGTGCTGATTTGTTTCACAGCAGAGTGGTTAACTACTTGGGCTGTGAGGTGGTGATATTTTTTTTTATCAGAAAGACGGCTTGGGAAGAAAATTTGATTTCCTGGTGGCTCATTTTTGCAAACGATGATGCTCTGTATCGCCAGTCTACAGAGATCTCTATTGTATTTGGTAGAATTGCTTTTAAAATACATATAAAGGCTGTCAAACATTTTGGGTATACTTCATTGAGCTTCACAACATTGTGTATTGTAATCTTTGATGCAGTAACCAATGAAACAAAATTGAGTTTTAGGCCAGCTTGCTCACACACAAACTTTCTATTGTCTGTCTTCAAATGTTCTGTGGGACTGACATCAGGGCTTTGTAATTTTTAATCCAATACACTGACCTTATTCTCTTTGAGTGTTAGTAGGATTCCATGTATCAGACCCTTTAAGTTGCTGTCTGAAGTTTAAGATGCCAATATTCAATCAGCATGTTGTTATATGCGTATGATGGTTTATGTTGTAATTCTCCCTCCTTCAGCAAAATAACCACAATCAAAAATGATGTTCTCAGGCTTTCAAGATTCCCAGCATCCCCACAAAAATGTTCTGGAGCTGATTTGCCCTTTTAACAGCAAAACATGTTCATCTCTAGGAAACGCTGCCTGTCC